AGCTATGACATACGAACATAAGAACTATACCATGAGGACTATGCTATGAATTTACCCTTAGGGGGAATATAGCGTGTTTATTAAAGGTGCTGTCACTTGTAGAAGTCTCGTGGAAAATTTGTACAAGTCAAACTGCACAGGCCAAGGATAGTCATTGACTTGCGGAGCTCCATTTTTTAAATCTGCAAATGCCACCCCCAGCAGAAACGAGCTGGTCTTCTCTCCAAGACTGCACCGTGTGCCATGGATCATCCTTATTGTTTTCTAGCTAGGGAGGGGACTGCCCAGTTATCCTTCTCCTAATCATGACTTGTGCCAACTCTTCCCTCAAAAAGTAGCGGTTGAAATGAGGACTGGTAGTGTGGTGCGGTGAGGTGAAGGACTTGCTTCTGTAGACATACACGAAGTCATTCTGTAGGTGTGCTGGCTGGGGAAAAGCTCTTCAAGTTTGCAAGTCTCATGTCCCACACTAGAAAAAAAGGTAACTCTGATCTCTGCGGTCTGGAGCAGTAGATTATCCCTTCGTAGTAGATAAGCAGGCAAAGAAACGTGCATATATTTCTTATTTATTGTTATATCCACAAAGTATGGCTTATATAAAGCCTCAGGTTATTAAAAATCCTTCCAGATGGTCCATCCTGTCCTGAGTTATCTGTCTGTGGGAGCTTTGCTTCCGGGTCACATCTGTAAATGAATGCAGAGAATTGTCCTAAATGTCATTCATTTTTTTTATGGCAGTTGTTTAAAAGGAGGAAAAAAAAAAAAACACAGGAGAAAAATGCAATGTCCAACCCAGCCAGCACAAAATCCTAGCTTGATCCTCTTGATTTTTCCGAATAATTCAGCTCAAGAAGTGTTAATCTTGCATCCAAAATGATGCCTATTATGTCTGACTTTTCGATTAAAACTTCAAATGCTTTTGATGAAAAAATAATGAGATTATAGGTTGACACTTAGTATTTTAGGTCTCTCCCAGGTTTTTCAGCCTTGGGCTGTCTATCAAGCGTTGAGAATTCTGTCCCCAAGGCACTGACAATTGTTGGCCTGTAAGGACTTGCTAAAGAAAGGAATTATCCTGATTTATAGGGAACCCCTGAAAAACCTTTTTGGGTCAATTCAGTCTTCACAGTGCAGGAAAAGGAATGCTTGAACCTCTTTGGCCCTTCTGCTGGAGGTGAAATAGGTGTGTATGCATTTGTACGTGTATTAATGAAATCTTTGAAACATTGAGCATTGCCCATATTCCCATTATTGCCATCCTTCGTTCCCTTACCCTCCCCAAAGCAGTTTTTCATGTTACTCTCAGCATATGCCCTGATGTACCTCTATGCTGTGAGAAGTGTGTATCCAGTCACGTGACATTTAAAAGTGCCCTAGCATGTGGAAGTAACTAGAATAATTAATGCCTGATCCTTATTATAGGAGTGCTGTCCAGTGTTACTACCAAACGGGCCTCCCCATCTGTGTGTTAACCTGCTGAAGGAGGCCTTGTGGCAGACCGTGGATGTAGCATTATATCATACCGAGCTAAAATATTTTGCTTGGCCTGGGCAGCTGCCAGTCCATGTAGCAGCTGTGATGAGACCTTGTCTATATTACCTGTTAATGTTTTTCATTGCCAAATTGTCTTTGGGTGTTTTTTTCCCCCAAAGAACAACTTCGATTTTCCTTAGTTATGAGGTTAATGAGAGGAAAAGGAAAAACTTTAGCTTGGGAGATCTGGAATACAACAGAGGCAAAGGTTAGAGGAATAAGTACTGAAGAATGCTCGGATGGCTTAAATTCTATCACAGCCTCTTTACCTACTAATCCCTATTGACTAACCATAGGTGGCTCCCTCATTGATATTGGGGGTTACTGAGTCACTGCTCAAAGGCACTTGACTTTCCCCATTGTCTTGGTGTAAGAACTTCAGGGGAATCTAGGCAATCCGAATATGGTCCTAAATAGTGTATTTTTTAGTTTATTGTTGGGAAGAAGTTTATGACAAACTCCAAAACTCATAATTCTGTAGAAGCTTAGTGCGATTTCAAAGTATTTCCTTCATATGCTTCATGTTTAATCAATCACAGGCCACTGGAAGGGCACAGATTCTATTGTGAAGACCAGAACTCTCATCAGTTATGTGGAGTTTCTTCTGATGCTAGTTTCTGCGAGCATCAGATTACAAATGTAGTCTGTTGTGTTGTGATGAGCTATGAACAAAAAATAAGTTGGTTATGATTTATTAAAGGGTAATACTGAGTGGAGAGGAGGGTAGTGTCAGAGGTTCATGAGATTGCAAGTTTTACCCTTAATTATTTCATTGTTTAATTGCAGTTATTCTGAATCTGTAAAGACTGGTTGCGGGGGGGGGGGGGGGGCTGTTAGTATATTTATATTACAGTGAGACTATTTCTTACTTAACCAACATCCATAGAAAATCCTAGTGATTGAAGGAGCAAATGTATGATCTCTAAGTGCCGGGGCGGTGGGCCTCCTTTCCAAACAACACAAGGCAGTTGAAGTTAACTACTGTGACTGACTTGCTTCTGATTTTGAGTTTCCAGTGGAGCAGGACGAAAGGATGTTGCATGTGGATGTTGAATTCTGTTCCTGTGTGCTCTGGAGGAACTCTGGCGTGCAGTTGTCAGTATTTGGTCTTTTTGGATCCATTTTCATTTACTTACTCTTCTTCAGTCTTCTTCTCTTTGCCCTTACTTTGGAACACTTGTTGTTTCTTCCTAGGTCCTAGAAGTCTATTTTATTCCATGGGATGAGTTGCATTTGAAAAATGCTTGTTTTCCGAATGAAACAAGATCTTGAATTCTCCGTTACAGCTCATAAGACAGACCTTGTTTTGGATCTGTTGGCCTGTGTGTGGTGTCTAAACATTTTCATAAATGTAATGCGCTCTTATTTTTTTTTATTTCCTTCTGCATCAAGACTTTGTGGGCCTCTTCAGTTGCTTAGTGAACAGCTTGATAACTTTTAACCCTCCCCTTGAGGAATTTTATTTATCATTTCTCTTCAGAGTTTCTGAAGCTGTTACTGATCCAGGTGATACTTCTGCCATCCAAGCAATTTAAATGAATTTTTCAAGAAAAGTTCATTTTAAAGTGTTCTACAAAATGCTTTTACCGGTGCACATGTATCTTCCAAAATTCAGTGGGCTGAGGAGATGATATTTAGATCCCACTTCTGTAATATCAAAATCAATTATGAAATCCGTGTCTTCCCAGTGCTCTCCCGTGCTACAGCCTACACTGTAAAGTCTCCAGGAATGAGTCCATCCAGTTTCACAGAATGGTAAGGTGTTTTGAGGGAATGGTTAGAGAGACTTGACACTCGTACGTGACTCAATCTTCAGTGAACCCTTGTCAGAAAGTTTATCGATAGGGTGATAATTTGCACCGTGTTACTGTCTGTAAGTCGCATAAATCACTCAAGTCCCAATTTAATGCTTCTCTCCTGTGCTTGCCAACTTAGGATTTTTCTTGTTCATTTTTGTTTTCTGACATCCTTCCCTATTCTAGCAAAGGGGAGAATTGCAGTGGGTCTGGTAGCTCTGCAGAAAGTACTTCCATGTTTATGGAGAATCCAGACCACTCGCCCTTCTGTGAGAGAAAAGCAGTTTGCCGCTGGCCTAGTCACTACGAATTCTTCTGATATGCCTACCAGAAGTTAGAAGCTACTGACTTGTAGGCCCTGAATTCATTGCGTATTAGGAACTAAGTAGTAATTGGGAGTTATCAAAAAGCCATTGGTAGGCGACTGGAGCAGAACCAAAACCCAAATTCATAGGTGTTGGGAAGGGTTTCAGAAAGAGGAGGACAGCTGCTTGGACTGCTTTAGGAAAACTATTGTATGTGGAAGGGGGCAGGGAGAAAGACTAAGAATAGATCCCCTCCCCGCCCTGCTCCCCCCCCTCCCCCCAGTGCTTCATGTTATAACAAGACTGAATTGGAAAGGTTGATAATTGGGAGAGGAATTTACATTGAAGAGGTTCGTAGTACTGCGGTAATTGGTAAAATGTTCAAATTTTTATTAGGAACAATAGAGCGATCTAACGTTTGACTCTGGTTTCACAGGCTTTTATTACATGGCTTAGCCAACTTTGAGGTTCTCCTCTGCCTCCATCTGTTATTTTTATGTTCCTGCTATCACACACATCTTAGATTCTTCTTTTGGACTTTTTTTTTTTCTCTTGTAATTTTCCTTTTGAAGCAAAGAGGAAAATGTGGTACTTATTCAGCAGTCCATGCATGACTGCTCTCTACAGTGCTATTCTTTTTACAAGGGGGAATCAGTATTTTACACTTGCAGTTTCTCTAACTGGAGCCAAGCATCAAATGTTTAGAATGTCAACCTTTGCCGTAAGAAAACAAAAGAAACCCTCTTTGCATTTTTGGGTGTCTGTGATCATTTGTTTGATTTAACTTCACTTTCCAAGTCTGGCATCGTAACTTTGGCCACACAAGTTAACTACTTTAAGAACGGCAAAATTAGTTCTTAGTAGATTACGAGAATTACTATAAATTACAGCTTGTTGGTGCAAAATAGAAATGCAGGCTTCAGATAGCACTGGAAGCGCAATAAAAATAACATACAGAAAAGGCCTTATTTAAAAATGGGCAAGCAATACAGAGCACTTGCACAAAATGAAGAGGGGAGAGAGATTCAACTGGGCCCGCATACCTGTTGCGTTGGACTTGAGTTTCTTCTTCTCTGGTTAATAACTGTATGTTTTGGCAATGTACTTGGTGATGCAGTAGCTTCAAGGAAAGGAAGGGCTCACAGCAAAGCTCTTGTAAGTGATTCTGCTCTCTGAAAATCCCAGTAGGACCAGCTGGGTTTTGTAATCTCTTCTGAAATGTAGGTCAGACAAATCCTGCTCCTGCAGAGGCCCTCTGATCTTGCTGCCAGCCTTACTAAGTTTCCAGGTGTCCTGTTCCTCCCCGTACAGGGGAGGTGATGCTGAACTTGTTGCTCATGTGTTGTGTCCTCCTTTTCATTTGTAGGGGACAGTCTTTACTTTGGAATCTGAAGAGGAAGAGTACCCAGGGATCATTGCAGAGGACAGTAATGACATCTACATCCTGACTAGTGACAACTCGGGACAGGTGAGCCCCCCAGAGTCCCCCACGGTGACCACGTCGTGGCAGACAGAGAGCCTGCCCGTCTCCCTGTCAGCAAGTCAGAGCTGGCACACAGAGAGCCTGCCAGTCTCCCTGGGACCCGAGTCCTGGCAGCAAGTGGCCATGGATCCTGAAGAAGTCAAAAGCCTGGATAGCAATGGAGGGGGTGAAGAAAGGAGTGAGAACAACTCTTCTAACTCCGATATTGTGCATGTGGAGAAGGAAGAAATACCAGAGGGGATTGAGGAAGCAGTGGTGTCAGCAGTCGCTGCAGAGACCGTGCAGGCGGCATTCCCAGAACCCCCTGCTTCTTTACAGGAGGTAAAACCTGAAGCTGAAATTGTGGCTGTTGAAAAAGCACATCCCTCTGCGCTTCTGCGTACAAAACAGGAGGAAAAGGGAAAAGTGTCTGAAGAGCCTGTTGAACCTGAAATCCCCATATTAAGTAAACCTGTTCCAAAAGTAGCCCCGTCAGAAGAAAAGCCTGCACCAGAACCTGAGAAAATACTGCTTCCAGGGGAGAAAAAAGCGGGGAAAGAGGGCCATTTGGAAGAAATGGAAGAGAAATCCTCCACTGCAGAGGAGAAGCCTATCTTATTGCCAGAAGGGAAATCTATATTGCTGTACGGTGGGGCTGCTGCAGTAGCTATATTAGCTGTAGCAGTCGGAGTAGCGCTGGCGCTTAGAAAGAAGTAACAGAGCTCTCTTGAGGAGGAGGAGGAGGAGGAGGAGGGGGGAGAGAGAAGAGAGCATGATCCAGTTTTTGTAGTTGTGTTAACTAAAGGTTGAGCTGCCTGCTGTTTAATTGGACACTTGAGTAACTTAATGGTGATGGGGTGAGGTTATTCAATAAGCCTCCAACTATGGACAATCATGTTTTTAGTAGAATTAGGGTGGGGACTGGTTTTTCGTGATTAAAGTACAGGGATATTTTTAAAAAAAAAAAAAGAAAAAATCTGCAAATTTAAGAACTTAAGTGCAGGTGCTGAAGAAAGGGGTGCTCATACTCTAGGAACTGGAACAGAGAATCCCCAGGGGAAGGGGAGAGCCAGCTGCTGTCAACCCCTGTAATTTTTAGCTTCTCAGATTGACCCGCTGTTGCAGCTGTGCTGTCTTGTCTCTTCCCTTTGCACCCCCGAGCCCTCCTTAACAAACGTTAGCCAACCTGAATCCTGTAGCGAGAGGCTGGTCTCCCTTTTGTCTCGGCTTCCTCTCAGGTACTGCACTGCTCCTCATAACCGCGCAGGTTCCTTCTAAACCCCAGTGGGAGAGTGCTTCTTCTTACCTCTTTGCTCACACCTGATTTGGCCCCTAACCTTTATTGGAGCCCCATCCTGTAAAGATGCTGCCTCTCTATAGCCGTATTATCTCTGAGCGTTCTGGTGTTTGTGAGGGAGAGATGCAGAACAGCACTTGCTGCTAGCAAGGAAGGCGGGGGGGGGAGGTACTCTGCTATTTGCTGGTCTGAGAATCCATTTGCCGTGCTCCTACCCTGCCCACTTTACTGCCACACTTCACTTACCAGAGATGCAGAATTCATGCCAGACATGGTGCCATTTTGATGAGTACTTTGATACAAGTGTGTATTCAGCAAATAAATGGCAAAACTGTGTGAAAGTGAGACATGAACTGGTGCCACCTGTGAAATTCAAAGGTTAAATGCTATTTTGTCCTATATCATACTGCAGTCTGTATTGTGTTTCACAAGTTAAGCACAGAGTGTATTTAGTCCTAACTTGGTCTTGGCTGTGACAGAATCTCAGATACATAAAGTAATGGATTCTAGTAACTAAGCAAAACAGCATTAAATATCTCCTCTGTTTGCCTGTTCCTGGCCGGACCCTGAGTGGTGTTCAGTGCAGTTTCTTTTGCGACTCCGAATCTGTAATTAGCTAAACTTACAGATTCACAAATGCTGAGAAAGTTACTTTGGAAAAAGTAAATGCCTCTTCCTTCCTGCAGTCACATATCACATGCTTGTGAAGAGAAACCTTTTAAGTATTGCCCTGCATATCTGTTATGTCAGATCAACCAAGTGTTCTTTTTCATTGTGCATTTCTGTGTCTGTCTTTGTACTGCAGCGTTGTGGGCAAGATCTTAGATTTTCCAGGCAAAATTACTGATCATCTCTGAGGGTTTATGCTGGCACTGTGGCTTAGAGCAGGTGAAGGTAGGTGAAAAGGAACTTGGAATAATGTAAAAACTGAAATGTGAGCTTGCTTACTGTAAGCTTGCTCTTCATAAAGCACAAAGGCAAGGTCCTTTTTTAAAAAATAACCTTACCTCCTGTACTTCTTGTAATGAGCCTGTTTCTTAATTGATCTGATAATGAAGAGATTTTGGTACGTTCTCCATTTTAGCATAAGGTGACTTTTTGCTACTTTTTCCTTTCCCTTTTACATCCCAATATGCTGGTAAGTCAGTTAAACCTGGCAGATTCTAGGAAATTTTTGTTTTAAGCTTTTTCCGTAATGGCTTCTGTAGAAAACTTCCTGGGTTTTGAGCTGTTTGAATATTGGGAAGAAAGGACTGTCACATATATACTTCTGCTGTGGAAGGAACCTCAGCTCAGGGGTTCTGGACTTTACTGTTGATCATAAACTGCTCTTTTTCTGTGTAAAAAATGTAGCAGATTGGCCTTAAAAAGACAAACAAAAAAAAAACTGTTGTGAAATTGAGTTAGTTTTCTTTTTTTTTTTTTTTTTTTGGCTGTTTCTTGGTGCCCTGCTGAGAGTCTCATTGTTGTGCTGTGTGCCCAGAACTGTAACGGGGACTTCCTCACGCCACAGACTCCCGCTGCTGCAGGTACACAGCGTAGTGGCGGTGTTTCAGCTTTCCCACCACCATAGTTCTCTCACCTGGCATCTCCCTGGAACTTTCCCCTCTTTGAGAGGAGAGGACCTTATACTCCTTTTGTCACAGATGTGCAAGAACGTTTACATTTTGGTTCACTGAACATGTTGAAACAGTATTTATTGGCAGGTGACGCTATCTACAAGGGTACTTGATTGTTCCTACGTGGCAAGGGCTGCTTTATTGCCCAGTAAGTCGGGGTAGGTCTGCCCCTCTCCTACTTTTTTCTGTTTCCTTTCCGGGCATGTTTTCTGTGGGAGTAGGGCTGTTCTTAACCTGATCCAAGTCCTCTCCTTGCTGAAGATGATGCATCTACATTTGGGAAATAGCCCATCTGTAGTCACTCAGTGGGTTATACAGCAGTACCCAAATCCACTCTAAACCAGAGATGGTATTTTTTGGACACTCTGGATAACTCGTTTGCAAGCTGGGGGGGGGGGGAAGGTGTTCTTTTGACCCTTCTCTGTAAGTGGTTATTTTACTAGTAGTGCGGGAGATGGGCACAGGACAGGTGAGAAGATAAATCTATGCAAGTTATGGGGGGAAAAAAATCCCTAGCACATTGACACAAAGAGCCCAATGGGGCTCTAAATAAAAAGTGTCTTCTCCAGCAAACAGCAGCGAGAGGAAGAAGGCAGCAGTAGTGGGAAAAACAAACAACTTCTAGTTTTGTTAAGGTTTTTGCAGTGGGGTGAAAATCTCAAGTGTCTGGGGTGTTGCTACTTTGAATGGAGCCTCAGCTGCACAAGTGCATGTTTTGGTTACTTGGTTCCTTGCCAATGCTTCCCGTTCTTAGGCTCTTATTGATGTGACGATTCAGAGAGAACGTGTACCCTCTTTTCCCCATCCCTCTAACTACATGTTTATAAAAATTTCTCACCTATCTTGTCTTTCCTCTAGGAACACTCCATTAGCTTAAAAAAAAAAAAAGAGTCAGTTATGGACTTGAATTTTACTGAATCTGGAGTCCCGTGGTCAGTGCTAGCACAGGCCCTTTGGAAGTGACAAAAGGGGTCCGATGAGCTCAGATGACAGTGTTATTACTGACTTGAGTGCCAGGCTTGCTCCAGATAGGTGTGAATTAGAAAATGGATATTTTTTCTCCTCTCTTTAAGTATATTAGTGGGAATTCTAAACTGAACGTTCTAATGACGCTGAACTGCGTGTTTGGAGCTTCTACTTTGTGAATCTTTTGCAGCTGGCAGAGGAAAGACAGTAGCTATATACTTACGAAAGAGCGTATAGAGTTACTCTCACTTGTCTTGCTTATCCCCCTCCCAGAAGTGCCTCAATATCTGTCCTCGAGTGGACTGTACCTTAACAAAATATCTACCTTTGACCCGTTCTTTCTTCACTTTATCCTTGTCTGCTGCACATCCTCAAACTAAAATGATAAAACAACAAAGGGCTACATCTGCAGAAGGTGTGAATTACTGCAATATGGAGTTCCTCTGTACACACTAAGAGACCTTGCTTGGAAGCCACAGCCCGAGTTAAATACTTAAGAAATTGCAGTTGATAGAATGCTAAGTAAGGAGCTGTCAAGGAAAAGGCTTTTAAACTAAGGTGTGACTTAAATTTCAGTTATGCTTAACTCTAGGCTGTGGGGAGGCTCACTTGGGCATTACTGCTGGGAACTGGGCAAGATCTTTTTACATAAAGCAAACCTAGAACGAAAGGCCTGGGAGCAAAGTCTGAAACCCAGAATCCGTCTGTTATATAAATGCCCAAACCACTCAGACCCAGAGCCATGTCCCCTCCCCTTGCAGCCATGCGCAAGCTCGGTGAACTCCTACCAAAAGAAATTTAAGGAGTGCCTGGGCTGCAGAGCTGTAGTTGACATAGCAGTTTCAAGTCACTCTGCTAGGTCAAAATCAGAACAGCACCAGGCATGCAAAGAGAGGAAGCTTGAGAACTTAAGGTTTCAGTTCCTGCTGGGCTAGATGGAAGCTGAGTAGGGGTTGGCAGGGTGGATAGTTGGTTGCCTAGAATAGAGGTTGATGCCTAAAATACTACATCTGGTCTAATGATGGAACAAACTTGAGCCAGGAAAGCAACAAAACCCGCAGACTTGTCTAGTCAAGCGTGAACTAGTGCGCATCTGCCTGCTCCAGGTACTTACCTGTCTTTGAACAGACACTCCCAGCGTATGGCCAGACGATGCAGTGGAAGCATGCTTAGTATTGCACCTGGTTTTGGACACCAGTTTACCTTCTAGATAGAAGAGGGTCTCTCCAGCCATAGCCATGTACAGACAGGTAACAAGGGCAGTGGAAGGTCGTATTGCCGTGGTATTTGTGGTTGGCTGTTTATTTCCTAACCTTCCTTCCAGTGAGCAGACTATGACTACAAAAATTCATCCTTGCTGTTTGTGAGGGCTGTGATTTTTCAGCCTGGCTGGGGGCCAAGTTCAGGGGCCTGTAGCTTAAGGAAAGGTTGACTGCTATAGTGCTAAGAGTGTTTTTGCACAGGGCAAGTTCTGTTACCGGAATCCTGTTTCGTTTCTTTTCATGCATCTCTGATCACAGCTAGGCTAACAATGTGGCCGCTGTTTTTAAACAACTAATCAATGCTCTCTAATGGTCACATGGTCACAAATGGACCATGTCATTAGTGCCATTAGTACTAAACAAGTGTGTTTCAGAAGGTTCTCCCCCCCCCCCCATTTTAATTTTTGTTTTTATGTGGAAGACAAAGAATTTGACGTCCTAAGCCTTCTCTACATTTAATTTAAGCTGCACTGGAATGGCAGTACTAGCAAAGCCCTAGTAAGGTAGATGGCACTAGCCTGGCAAAAATAAAAAGAAAGAAGGGCTTCGACTAGGCATAGTGTCTTTCATTCACTGAGGCAGAGCAGACAACGGCTGCAAAATTTGTATCCGCGGATATAATTACTAGTGTCTTTGCTGCACTGGGTTTTAAGGAGGGATGGGGTGGGGATTGGGGGCGAGCAGTTACCCAGCTGCCACTGCTATACGTATAGCCCAGGTCATCAGTAGAAGTTCTCATTCTTGGCATGACACAGACCTGCTGCTTTCAGGAAGAGCAACTCGCCCTGTATGTATTCTGTACCCCAAAAAGTTACACAAAGGAGAACGTGTTTCAAAGTGAAACCTGGCACGATGAGACAGAAAAAAATCATTTCTTGGCCCTATTAGAGGCTGAAACTATGCATGATTGTTTTATTTGGCTTAGTCTGCTTAATTTCAGCAGTAGGAAGGCTACAAGACCAGCGCTGCTTTGAGACTGTGTATTTGTGCTGCGCTTCAAAGTGCGAGCTATATACTGCCATTAAAAAAAAAAAGGGGGGGGGAAGTAGTATTTAAGCCACCACTAATTCAGTCCAGTGTAGCTAGGGCACTGGCCAATATGGAGCAGGGAAGACAGGACTAGCTCTATGCTATGGGTCTCAGTTTGTATCTGCTGCTGTTAGCTACATGGACTAGTGTCCTTGGCTGGGGAATAAGACCTGCACCAGCTTGGAACAGGTCAGCTGTAGTGTTACCAATACATGTAGGGGACCCAGAACACACCGTAACACATATTCAGCTCTTATTTATCTTTTTTCTTTTTTTTTTTTTTTTTAAACAGCTGACCCTCTCTAGGTCTTTTAGGTAGGCTGACTTGCTTCCTCTTAGCTAGAGGTCTATGGTTATGCTGTAGAAGAGGGGAAGCTACAGTTAGCTTCCAGTGGAAGCTGCTTTCAATCGGCCTGCAGTATCTGCAGGAGAGGCAAAGAACACTATTGACTTGGACAGAACAAGCTGCAGAGGATGCATCTTATTGTTGTACCTTTAGGGGGTCTCTCCCCATTTTTAACTTACGTTATAGACTTTTATTCAAAAAGTGTTGTAAGGCTAAAACCCACTCAGACCAAGAGAATGCCACTTGATTTTGTGACGTAGCAAAGTCTAATGGGACTGACTCTAACGTACGCATGTTAGGGGCTCTCTCCCACTAGGCTTCTACTGGGGCTAGACAGACAGAGGCTGACTTGCAAGGAGCTCAGGTTGTGTTCCCAAGTGGCCTGTTTGTTTGTGGGAAGATACCCTGACTTGTCCTGAAGTCACCAGTTACCCAAGGAACTGGTTATGCTGTTCCTTTTAATATGCAAGTGTAGCCCTCTTGGGGAAAACTGTCTAAAGCTTCTTGTGCCATTTGGTTAATAAATAAAAGTATTTCCATCATTAAAAGGAAGTTATTTCCAGCTTTGTTGTTCTACATTCAGTTCAAGTGAAGGGGTATGTATATTTTTTTTCCCTCTGCCAATGGGACACTGCTGTAAGACCATGCCCCCAGGTTGCACTTTAATAAATGGTACAGTTTTCAAAAATTATGTGTAGACTATTTCTGTGCTTTTTTTTTCCTCTTACAGTGCAGTGGGCCAAAAATAAATTGCATAAACAATTTTGCTTATGCAAGATGACTTTTTAGGTAATAAGAATAAAAGTGTCTCCATTGATGGTAGCCACCTCATAAGCAGTATTAAATTAGAAGAATATAAGAACTTGCACAAAGAATGACAACTCCTGAAAAAGGTGTAGTGAAAATTCAAACTCTTATGAGCTGTATTGCCATGAGAAATGACAATTTTATTTTAAGTTAAAAAAAGGCAAAATATTTACAGTCTCGTACTTCTGAGGCAGCTGGATCACAGGTGAAGCCTTAGCTACCCTGTGTGTGATCACATACACAAACACCTGAGTCTCATTTCTTTACAGGACACCAGTGCCCTGAGATGTGAATGCAATAGGCTCATGGTCAGCGATGCCAGGTATTCTTCCTGATTCAAGGTTGATAACTTCTTTCTCTTTGCAGCAAGCTATTCTAAAACTAAAGAACATTTTTCCTCAAGCATATCCAGATTACTGAGTTCCCTGAAACAATTTACCCTTGTACTTTCCTTTGTAATTTTCTGCTCTAGTTCCATTTCTCAAGCAAGCAGAGCTGCTGTGGATTAAGACTAAACCATCTAAATTGATACCTCACCCTACCTCTTTCAGGGTTGTTTCCATCTACGGCCAGCTCGCTCTCTGAGATAATCTAGATTTTTTTTCCCTTGGTGAGTGATGCTGATAAAGCACCTGTTCTACAGCAGAGCCTTGCTGCGAACAGTTAACATTCACAATAGCCCAGCTGCAGCACAGAAGTCTGCAGCACCAGCAACAGGGTGGGGGGAGATGGTAGCTAAAGCCAAATGCTGCAGTTCATTAGACAGTATACTGAGAGGCCAGGCTCTGTGGCCATGGCATTTCTTCTGGAGGCACAAGCCAGGCTCTGTACCTGTACTAAGTCTGCTAGTGAAAGAAAAAAAAAAAGAAAAAACCCACAAGCCCCACCCTATTTGGCAAAATGATAAAGGGCAAGCACTACTTCTTACAGGTACTGGCAGGACACTCATGCAGCTCACACTACTGTCATTGCTGGCTAGTCTATAAAAGCCTATCTACAAAGCAGTACCTCCTTTTTCACAGCTGTGTCTCAGAGTTAAAATAATTTGAATACATCAAGAAGAGTAGAAAGTCCTCAGGAAGCCACAATCTCCACAGAGGCAGCTGGAGCAGAGCCTTCTCACTCACGCAGCTAGCAGGAAAGAAACAGAACCAGTGTTAACAGCAGCAGAGCCCTGGCCCAGCCGCAAGCCCTTTGCCTGCCTGCCACCTTCTGCCTTCCCCGAAGGGACTCAGCAGCTCCCCAGGGAGGGGAAAGCAGCAGCTGCAGCAGCTGCCACAGGCCCCCTGCGACTCCACTTGTCGCCATCTCTGCGAGCTCTGCCTCGGCTCTGCCTCCTGCTGTGCTACCCTTGCTGTCGCCTGCCTGACCGCCCTGATTTCTGTGCTGGCAGAGCTGGCCTGGCTTTTGAGAGCTGGCGCCTGGTGCTAACATAGAGCAAGTTGTTCCATGGGGAACAGCCCTTGACACTTGGTCTTGGTGCCCAGCTCTGTTCCCCCACTATTGCTGCTACACTGGGGAGGGAACTATCAGCTAAAGGAGCCCTTTTCCTGCCCTCCCCCAGCTTCGCTGTCAGCTCCTTCAGGCAGCCTAAGGCCTGCCCTTGTAATAAAATGCCAGGTTTCTGTGATAACTCAGCGGCCTTGAGCTAAGCTGCGTGAAGGGGAGGGCAGCACAACCCGAGGGAGCCTCGCTACCTAGCGGATAACAGGCCTGGGGTGAGGCACTTGTCTAGTCTCATGACACCGGGTGAGCAGGGCCCCTCTGGGGGAGCTGCTGATGCCACCTGTGGCAAGGCTGCAGCACAGGGGTAGCCCACACACCTGTAGCACTCAGCTGTTGCACTGCTCTCATCCCCATATGACTGCCATACTTGGGCTCAAAACCCATTCTCACCGGCACTACCTCTTGGACAGTGCAAGCAAGTGCATGCATGGGTGTGTCTGGGTGTGCACATACGTGTGTGTGTGTGTGTGTGTGTGTGTGTGTGTGTGTGTGTGTGTGTGTGTGTGTGTGTGTGTGTGTGTGTGTGTGTGTGTGTGTGTGTGTGTGTGTGTGTGTGTGTGTGTGTGTGTGTGTGTGTGTGAGTGCAAATACATGTGTCTTTACATGCACACATGTATGTGTGCATATGCATATCCCCACAGAGGGACTGAGGCACGTGGACGTTGCAAGACACCCCTCTGTTTCTCACCCCACCCCCCCACCAACAGGGCATCAACTTTCAGAGCCCCTCAGGGACTGAGGGTGCCTCCCAGCCCAGCCTCCAGAGCCCAGCACAGAGCTGCTGAGCTGTTTGACAGCACTCACCATTCTGACAATATAGGTGTGGAGGTGCTGGCTGATGTAGTTCACAGTGGTGCTGAAGACGCGGTGTAGAAGGGAGGGCACTCTATTTGCAATTTTTTTAGTTAGGACCATTGCTAACACCAACAATGCCTTCTCCTGTTCCATGTCCGAGGGGATGGCCCTTGCAAGCCCTTCCACTGCCTGTGACAGGTACTGGGTTATCTCCTGTACGGAGGGAAGAGAGAGATCTCAGTACAACAGCTGCAGGAGGCAGGGCTCTCCGCACATCTTGCCAGCAACATGCTGGTGACCAACATCATTGTCCAAACACTTCACAGGGTGCCTCTCTCCTTCGTCCCTAGCACAGCAGCCTGCCAGGGCTGTTAAACACCCTAGATGGCAATGGGAATGGCTACCCCAGTGCTCGGCTGCTCACCCAAGACCAAAGTAAAGGAGATGGCACATGTATGGCTGGAAAGTTTAGACAGCACTTACACAATTGAGGCACCACAGTTCCCCCTCTCACCCCTCCTCAGAGCTTGCACCCAGCTTGCCAGGTCCCACAAGGGCCCAGGAGGAGGCCTAGGCTCCCCCACAGTGTAACCCTGAACTTCACTGTGTTTAGGTGGGGACCAGCGAGGAGAAGGTAAAGTGAGTTGCACTGGAAAGCCTTCAGCGATGGGAGCTAGAGAAAGGATCCAGGCATAGAACAAATATCGCCTTGCTCCCCTTGCCTTGTTCAAGTATCGCCCATGCGTCCAGCATCAGACGAACAGGACTCAGCACCAGAGTCCCTGCACCAAAGATCTTGCAGACAAATACTGAGCTTTAAGCAGACTGCTGATTTTCAAAGATGCCAAGCCCTCGAGGCCACCAACATGAGGGCAAAAACACCTCTGAAAGCCTTCACCACCTCAATTTCCCCATCTGCAGAAAGAGGATGATGGGCCCAAGGAGCCACTTTGCAGGGCAAAGGCTGCTACAGGGTGCAAAGCTGCCACAGCATCACCCCTAACAAACCTTCATGTCAAAGGCAAATATAGGGGTTGAATTTTCAGCTGGCAACAATTCAAGCAACAAACTTGCAAAAAAAATGCAGGTGTTGCCAGCTTGCTGCTTCAAAGCCACAGCAGGAAGGTTCTACAACATGTAACTAGTCAGGCCGCTTTTCACTCACCTCTCTAGACACATTTTCATTCAGAAAATGCTGTACAAGATCATTTACTACTTTTGCTTGGATTTCTCTATCCAACTGGTCTCCAATCTCAGCAAGCTGAGCACCAATCATCTGGAGAATTTCTTCATTTACCTCAGGGTCAAACACTGCCAACACATAAAGCAGGATTTAGTTCACAGACTGCCGCCAGACTACGTTCACCACAGGTAAGTGGACTCATGGCATCCTGGCCGTCTCCATCAACCCCACCCCCATTTGTGACAGCTACAGGCACTACTGGTCATTTGTGTCCACACAACAATATAAACTTTCCCAGAGACAGCGGGCAAATAGATTTTTAAGCGGTAGTCTGGGTAAAACGCAGCCTCACCCTGTCCAAAAGAAATGCTACAGGGTGGGGTTAGAACGTACCAAACCAAAGTTTGTACAGGACGTTACAGCCATCACTTTGTCCAGAACTGGGGAAGTGGAAGAGCTGTTCTTCATGAAGAAGAATTTCTTCATGAGCATCATCAAGACCTGTGTATTAAGCACTTTCTAAAACAGAGCACCTCCATTTTGCAAAGCTTCCCTGTGCTACTTGGGGACATTAGACCAATGCAAATTTGAAGGGCTACTTGCTGTAGCAGGTCCTCTCAGCCCTACTGAGATTGAGATCAGTTGTGTCAGCTGACACATCCTGGACATGGGGGAAAACTCTGCTGCAGATGGCTAGTGAAGTACTAAGGGTACCAGTAACTACATGAGAAACTATCTCCACCACAGTGGTACAGCAGAAAGGGATGAACTCAGTAACAAAACAAGAGCTGGTTCCGAAATCCTAGCCCCAGAACTAGTGCTGTTAGGGACCAAGTACTGAAACTCTCTCCAAGGAGCAATGTGAGGCCTGACATAGGATCACTGCTTAAGAAGGGCACTCATATTAGTACCAGCTCTGGGGCTGTTATGTGTAGTTTATCAGACAAAACACCCAGGGTGACAAGTAATCCAGAAATCCACAGGGAAATAAAGTGCAAAGCATTAGCTGTATTATCCCAACTGTTAAAACTCCAGCAAGCATCACCATCAACAGTCACGCTGTGGAGTTTCTCAATGGAGAGAAACGTACTCCTGCAACAGGCCAGCAGCAGAGAGGAAACAAGAAAATAATAATAATAAGCCTCAGAGGCTGGTGGGAAGGAGAGCACTCACCCAGCTCACCATTCTGCAAGTGGCCACTCCGATTCCCATCTGTCTGAAGCTCCCCCTCATCATCATAGCAACAGAAATGTCTTACAGAAGGTACGATCCCCTGGCTCTGTAGGGCTTGCAGTTGGTCTCCAAACTCGCAGTTGGAGGAGCTCTGGAGGAAGTTGTACAGAAGGATGCGCTCCATCTGGGTGGATCCATAGCTGTGGATATCCTAAACATAAGACAGTCACTGTAAAACCTAACCCAGGAAAAGTACCGCTCCAAGTCTGCCTATACATTGTTTTCCAACAGTGGACGCACTTTTCTGGCCTCCTTTGCAGGTCTGGAATAACATCAGCCAGGGACCCTACAAGACTTGAGCAAATGCATGCAAACTCCTGGATATGTACTCACCCACAACTGTCTGATGGTGAGTGCCAGACAGCTCTGTTCTTATGAGCCAGAACCAACTGTTCTTCCAAACTTGTTTTTTTGAAGGGAGCAGTCAGCTCACCTTCTGTGCATTTTCAGCTGTTGCAAGGACTGCACCCCTGATCAGAGCTCCTCTATCAAAACAGAGGTGTACTCAGCACAAACCATCCACTTCCCCATTTAGACATCTGCATTTGGAAGACTTATCCCTGTATTTGGGGATTTGGTATTCTACTTCCTGTACATAACTGTAAGCCAGCAGCTCCCTATTTAAATGTAATCAGAGCATGGCAGTAACCATGCACTGAACAGAGGTAATAACAGCTTGCAAAAATGAAGGTTCACATTTCATCTCCCTCCTCAAAGGGATAGAGACAAGGTCTATAATAAACCTGTTCAGATCCCTGTAGAGAGCCAGGTGGCTGCCAGCAAGAAGACTGTTAGTAAAACGGCAGACCATTAGCATCTGATATCATCTACATCCACTGTCAGTGCTGGCATGTGCTGCTTCTGCGGCCACACACCCTGCCACCCAACTACAGTCATACTGAGGAGGTCTGACAGGTAGCCAGATTGATGTAAGCAAGAGGTTCCACTACAGCATAGGCCGCAGGCCTCATAACCTACTAAGGCCTCTGTAAGAAACAAGGAGATTGGCCAATAATTGTAATTAAGCAGCTAGGAGAGAGCAAGGTGTGCAAGTGCAGAAATAAAGTGAGGAAAAAAATCCCTGCTCTGGCGTGCAGACCGTCTGTCTGTAAGAGAAGAAAGTGCTTAGGTTTAATTGGAACTCACAAGAGGAACCAAGGCTAAAGCAGAATGACCAGTCTTACCAAGGGCATAAGGTAATCAATATGCAAACAGGATGAACCAGATAATTGAAGGGGAGCCTAGGAGCGGAGTGGAATCTTGCCAGGTCACCCATACCTATGTAAACATACCAATACCATGCCATAGGGCCCAGATTACCAGAAATACCAAATTTGGGTATAGATGTAGCAAAATTGGAACCAATGCAGAAAGTCAAAGATCAACAGAAGGCAGATCTTCCAGTAACACAGGTGTGAATGCCATGGATGGTACTGAAGTTTGCCTGGTGACCCAAGTTCATCAGAGGTAGCCCCCTTGGACAGCCTGCTGGACTTACCACCAGGTTTTATGTCCAAAAGACTTGTTGCAGGAGGGCAGAGCAGAGATAGTTAGAACTGTACCCTAACTGGGGAGGGAAGGGCAACAGACTTCTATTTCAATAGCAGTTACGTAGTTGTTAAGATTTAAGTGTGATAAATAGCAGCTTTATAATTCTGTTTAATATTGTGCAAAATGATGTAATCATAAATTGATAATAGTGGTGTCTCTATTAGTCAGTTCGGTTAACTCATTTATTAGTTTAAGTTGTGTGCTGCTTAACCAAACACTGTAGTCTCTTAAATTAGCCCTATCGCAAGCCTGCAACCTGAAGGGAGAGTGTCGGACCGTGAGGTAACAACAGAGCAGCCTGCAAACTAGGTCGTTCCATCCTCTTTTTGGCCATATTCCTGGAAGAGGAGAGCAGTGTCAGAGGCTCCTGCAGGAACTCTGGCGAAGATGAGAAGGGTATGAACTGGCACTTTTTTGATACATAGTATCAAGAGCATTTTGAAGTATTTTAGGCCAAGCACAAAAGAGAATCACTGGTCACTTTGAAGCACTAACTTCAGTCACGCCTGTAACTTACCTGTTCCATGATGGCTCCAGAAATGGAGCGGCTTCAGTCCCAAAGTCCTTGCCCTGCAAGGGAGTGAGAATGGAAGGGATTAAAGGAATAAAAATTCCAACAAACACATGCCTTTTACCAGTGCTCATGGGCCTGGCCAAATCTTGTGGAAACGGGCCTTTCTAGTGATGCGTATCCCCATCTCTGCAAAGGGCTGCACAGCAGTCATAAACAAGGCTGAGAAAGTCGTAACTGTCCCAGCAAGAAGGGCCCTATGCAGGTAAATGAGATAGGTAAAACGCTTTCCTGCCATAAACACATGGAAGACAGTGAAGGGATATGACCTACAAATGGGGCTTTAGAGCCAAGGTGGTGCTAGGGAAGGAAAGGACTACTATCCTTCATTGTGCCCAAGGCTGGAACAGAAAGCAGGGTTATCACAGACACACAGAGAAATCTCTGGCCTTGCAAAGGCAGCCCACGGCTCTTGGTTTTCCAGGTCCCTTGTGAGAACAGGTGAGCTGCTTGGGTCTGCGGGCACAGCAGCGTATTGCTAAGTGAAACATCCAGCTGAGCTTACGATACATCTGCAGCACTTCAAGCGTCTACATGAACATACACAGATATGTGTCTGTATACACTGACCACGCAGGCTTATTGCAATACTTTTCACACAAGGGATAGGGAGGGTTGGACTAGGTGTTATCAATGGCTTCTTGTTACTGTCCACTGAATGTCCTCACGTAAACAAAGTAGTGATAAGCCTCCAGGGAGGCTTGCCAGGAAGATGGAGTGAGGGAACAAGCAATCAGTAAAGCTAAAAAACAAAACAAAATAGTGTCAAAGGGAGCAAGAAAACTGAGCTGGGCACACATATGGCCCCCTAGGCTGAGGGAGCCTTCCTCTTTAACCTGCCTGTACTAAAAGCCCAGGGTAAATCTCCTCTGCCCCCACGGTGGGTGCAGAAGTTGACAGGGCTGACCACTCACCTCCCCTGTGTATGAGCAGTGCCACAGGGGAAGAGGTAGGCAAGGAGGGCATAGAGGTGGCACCCTCACCAACCAAGAAGGGGACTCCTAAGAGCACAGTGCTCCCCTTATCTTCCAACCAGGCATAGCTGGCAGGCACGTCAGACCAGCAGGCCAAGCAGTCACATCCAGTATTTGAAGTTGGAGTAAGAGCGGCACTAGCGTGGCACAGCAAACGCAAAGAATACAGACCGCCTGCTGAAGCAGGGAAGGCAAGGATCCACTCTGTGGACCTTACGTTTGCTGTCCAAGATGCAACAACAATTACACACGGGAATCCCTGATGCAAGCTGGCTTCAGCTCTCAAAGAGCAGGGCCTGGCTGAAAGCAGCACTACATTCCCACCAGGCCTTCTCTACCCAGGGCAGTAACCGAGCTGCAGCACAGGTGCTTGATGATCCAGATCAGACTGAAAGCACCAAGAAGCCCAACCAGATGAGCTGCTAACCACCATGGACCTGTGCTAGTGAAGAATTACCCTATTTCATAGTATCACCTCCTTATATCTGTGTTTTAAATAAACAAGAGTGCAGGTGGAAAAGAGAGGAAGTGAAAGCAGAAACCAACTCAAACGCTGAAGGAAACCACAGAGTCACAACTTTGAAAAATTAGGAAATTCCTGATCTCTCAAAGGCTTTTAAAAGTCCCCAAGACCAAAAGACAAACTCAAATATGTCTATTAGAAAATAATAATAATAGCCCAACAGGCAGGCGCTTATCCATGAGCTTTTATCTTCATTTAATCATTACATTAAACTAATAGCTTCCTAAAACAGAGACCTAAGCTTTGCTGCTGTGCAGCATGACATTGCTTTCTCTGTTCACATCAAATCCCTACTCCCGCCACTCACCTCTGTCCTAAAAGGCTCAGTGCTCAGTTTTCCTGTGACCAGATAGGGGCTCTGGAATGGGAGAGGGTGACCTCTTCTCCTAGAGGAGAGAGAGAGATGTTAACTCAGCGGATGGAGAACTTGAGACAGAATCCCCGGGATCATGAGGCAAATAGAAATTTTTGAATAAGGCCTCCAGCCAGACCCTTTTTGCAAACCTCTCAGGAGTCGCGCAGACGAGCAGTATTTTTATAGGCTGGGCAAAGCCTCAACTACAACATATATTATACACATATACATACTATTTAATTTTTATATATATGTGTGTGTGTGCACGTGCACGCATAAATAAAGAGTCCAAGAGTCCATTCAAAGTGATCCAGTCCCAAACCAAGATGTTCATGTCATTGCTAACGAAAAGTGGATGTCCTCAGACGTTAACACTCCTGAGTCAACCACCACCTCCTGGACCATCATGGCTGATACTTACTACAGGAGGGCTGAAGGAGTAGTGAACATAGGCTGCTCACATCCCCTTTGCTTTGAAAAATCACATTCATCACAGTGATCTCCTTGGGCTCCAACAGGAGCCCACCCATCTCCAGCCTAAGCCAAAAGCTTCTTGCAGAACCACTGCAGTACTTTACAGTTGGTCAGATCAGTCCATGCTGGCTAATTCAGGCAGGTAACAGCCAGCTGACTTTGCAACGTGAGCGCAGGCTGAACAAATCTCCATATTCCAAAGAGAAAGAAGTTACCTCCTACTTCTTTCACATCACACTACATATGTGCAAAGGAGCAGATGTTCTCGTGCAGTTCGCCAACGGGAATGTGATACAATACAAGCCGCTACAGCTGTGAGCTGCAAACAAATAACCAGGTGAGCAGCAGTACCAGAGAGATCTCTCTTGCAAGACTTTACAGTGAGACCACTTCCACCTAGCCAAACTGTGCTGTGATGACCTACTTTTTCCCCTCAAGGAGTCAAACTCCAGTAAACTGCAGGAAGGTCAGACAAGTGCAGTCAGGTGGTGATAAGCATACTAAATAAAACATCAGCCTGTACAGAGACCAACTTAGTCATTCCTACAGCAGAGAGCGGAATGGAAAAGCCAGGTCAAGACACCTCCCTGGGGACCTGTCACCTGACACGTCTTTCCAAGCAGAGCTCAGAATGCTGCTTTAAGGCCTCAGATTCCCTATGCTTTTTTCTGTCATGCTATTTCACACTGCCAGGAAGCCTCCTTGGCTCACTCCAAGCACTCATGAAACAGGCAGCCAAAGGGAAATGCACTACTGTCTTTTTCCATTCCCTGCTTTAAGAGAGAGGCACGTGATATTCCAGGCTGGGGAAGAAAGAGGGCACTCTGCTCCATTCCCAAACTAGGGAATACAAGTCGAATGAAACGGAGATCCAGATCTAGTGTAGGCATGCCCACACAGGTCAGCATGGAGAAGCAGGGCACAGTAGCTTGGCACAAGGCTGTGCAAACATCTCTACAGCTTCTAGTCAGCATGACAAGGCAGTAAGAAGAGCTTGAGTCTGTCCAGCTGTGCATGTTCCTCATGTGAATTCCTGGAAAGCTGCAGTAAGTCTAAGGCACCTGCAATAGCTTTAAAGCTCTGAAAGCTAAGCTTTCAAAACACCTAGTGATTTTCAAAGAGAGCCTGAAGTTTATGCACTAGTCACTAGTTTATGCACTAGGACCTAGCAGAGGTCCTTCCTGCATACCGGGCACCCTACCCAGGTGAAAACCCTGAAGAACCTCAGTGCGGGCAGAAAGGGGCTGGGCAGCCCCTACCCTGCCATACCAGCTAGGTGCCCTGCTGCACTCAGAGATGGGGTTGGCTGTGCATGGAGAGAGACCTACCGTACGTGAAGGTTCTTCCCATCTCTTTCCTCTCAATGGTTTGTCTCAGCTTTATGTAAAATTAGACCCTCCTCTGGGCAAGTCCACAAAAAGAGAGACATTCAAAACCACCTATCATAGCTGTAAATTTCAGGATTGTGCACTCCTGCACACGAGCAGAGATTAAGAACTACCGGGGCAGGGGGGGAAGGATGTTCCCCAAATCCTTATATGGTTTTAAAAAAAAAAAAAAGGCAAAGAGGCTTGAGGATGATTATTTCATTAATTCTTCCCTACATCAAGGAAGAAAGTGAAAGTCCTGGAGGGGTTCCAACCCTCAGCTAACAAAGCTCCACTTGGGTGGTCAAAAAAACACCTGGGAAAAAGAACAAGAACTTCTTTCATGTAGTTCTCTACTACTACAGTCCAGAGCCCTTTTTTAAAAAGTCACTAGTAATTCCAGAGACCTCAAGTTTCAGATGATTACCTTGAATGAAAACAAGGGCTTTGGGTATTCAAAGTTCCTCCTGAGAAGTCAGACTCCTTAATGGAATCTCAAAAACTGGACCCCTTAAAAGCAAGCCCCAAACAGTGAAATCTAACTATGCCGCTGGCATCTAAAGTTTAGCCACTAACACTTCAGAATCCTAATAGTTTTAGATTCAGATTAAGACATTTTCTGGTGGATAGAAATAATTACTTTACACTGAATGAAAAGCGCTGTTAGTAGGGAGAATGAGACAAGCGGGAAATAAAGGCTACAAACCCCACCTGTACTGAGGTCCAGAGTATATATGAAATACTTTTCAGATAGAAGTATTTTTTTTCCTTTTTGCATCCCAAAATATTTGGGAAACAAGTAAATTTAGACCATTTGCTAGGCCTGCTTGTGGTTGCTAAAAGTCTTGGAATACATTTTATAGAGTATGATTTTTTTTTTTTAATTGTAATGCCAATTAATTTGATTAACACATTATGATCTTTCACACTCGATTCACTCAGACAAGTACGCTTAACATATTCAGTGGCAACAACTGCCTCTGAGAAACAGTCAGACTCCTTGAAGTGTTGAACAGATAGGAAAACAATTTGTTTTTTGGATCAATTCTTTCCATATTAATTCCTTATAAAACTTTTTTTTTTTTTTCAGGGGAAGGAATAATTTAAATGCAAGTTTAGGACCCTTGAATCAGCTCTGAAGAGTCAGACTGCAGGGCTGCTTCACTGCAACTCAACATTGTGTCATGGGAAAGACTCAGCAGAGAAGTCTCACTAAATAATGCGGTTTCAGCTGGAAGTCTGACGTTGTTTCTTGCTACAGTTTCTTCAGTGGCAAGTCTTTCTCATCTCCTTATTCTTTCCCTCTCCGTCCCTCAACAGCAGCCACTGCCTGCTGAAATGTGAGTTGTGGACTGAAACAGCGATGAACCAGCAAAACTTAGGGAGAGGTAACCTCCAGGCGTGCGTTGGGGGGGGAGAAGGGAAATGAAAGAAAAAAGCTCAGGGAGGAAAAAAAACACACCAGAAAAATGTAGCATAAGAAAAGAGGATGGGAAAGACATGAAGCCTTTTCAGCCAGCCTGGGCACCAGCAGAAAGAAGCTGGGGTTACATGTAAACACATAGCAGAACACGCAACGAGTTTCATACTGAACCTTGCTCAAAAGGAGGCAGAGGACACAGGGGCAGAGAGCAACAAGCTGAGTTATTCAAAACTCCTCCCAGAAGGTGCTACATGCTACCGCAAGCCTACAATGGCATGTGACAAAATAAGCATTTCTCATAACTGCGAATCATGAGACACTAGCAGACTTCACATAATGGGACTAACCTCAAGAGATGAGCTCTGGAAATCCAAAATAGTGAACAGTTACTTCCCTGTAGCTCCCACATACAATTGCTTCCCTCATGAAGAACAGTGTAAACACAACCAAAGCGGTCTTGTGAACCTCTGTAGATCTAAACAGACACACACATACATACATACATCCCCTTGGACTTTCCCTTAGCTCTGACAACTGGAAACTATTGAGGCAATTACTTTCACCATGCACCTATATTTTCAAGCTTGTAATTCCTGTGACAGTTTCCACCAAAAAAAGGTAGCTGTTAATCTACTAAGATGCTTTTATGCCTGCTCCCCCCACCTCCGTCTCTGTGCAGTCATATAGCCTTGCCTGTTTAGGTTGCATATGTCTCAAAACAGGCCAAAGGTTAAGTAAACACCATTGCACAGCCTGAGCAACGCACCCGCCAGCTGCTTGTCACTGCAGAACGACAGAGCTCGTTCCACCCTGACACATGCCAGTTTTCACGAGAGACAACGTTGCGAGTGCTTCCCCCAAAGCAAACTTTCAAGGTTTCCTCCAAGGAAAACATCGCTTCAGCCAGTCATTGTGAGGGCAACAATGACTCCTGCGGCAACACAGACCTTACAGGTCTGGGGTGCCATCTGTTTCTCCCTCTCATGCCAATCTGTATTCGCTTTTGAATCCTACCAATAAACTCACCAGAGCTGCTGTTCCCAGCTGCACCCCACTAATGAGGGTTGGCAACACCAGAGGTGGCAGCAGGAAGGGCCACGATCTCCTCTCTGATTCCAACCTTTACGGAGAGACTGTACCGCAAGTTCACAGGGCAGAAGGGAGAGGCAGGACTGCAAGATAAGTTACATCCCGTGGCTCTCTTCCACACCTACATCTCCTCCCACATCATAGCGCTATCTCTGGCTGTTCGGGGAAGGAAGAGCCGGGAAAAAGTCTCATCCACTGTAGGACGCTTCTCTCCCACGCCCATTACCAGCAGTGCTGTGCAACTTGGGGAAAGAGGCAGCACTGGAAATTTGCGCAGTGGAACCACGGAGACACGTACTAGGGTACTGGTCCCACAGGGCAGCTGTGGCCATAGCTGTGCTGGAGTGAGATAAAACCAGGTCTTCTCAGCCATACCACTGCCACACACTTGGTTATTTCAGGAACAAGCATGGTAACTGCACGTTTTGTCTTCCCAGGTGGGGAGCTGCACATGGACACAGTGCAGCTGCAAAGCATGTAAGGTTTCACTTGCCCTATGAACAGTGTGGAGGTCTGTTGTGCCTCCAGACACTGCAAGCATGTCACCATGGCAGCCCCCAGCATAGCACCAAGAGGGTCAGCCAGCAGCATACAGATACCTGCTAGGGGAACTCTTTAATAGCTCTCAAAGCTGCCATAAACAGGAGCAAGTCCTTGGACTACTGCAGCAACAGTGCAAAGCCACCCTACAAATCAACTTCCATCCCTTCTTCACAGTTCTTTGTTACGTTTTCAAGAGAGCTTGAAGAATCCATCCCTTAAATGATGCCTCTACTTACCATCACCTCATCTGTCCTCACAGCTTAGTCTACGGACTGTCCGGACAGCAAATTAACAGGTCTTTCATTTCCACCCCTCCTC